GCACCTCAACAAGTTACAGATCGGCGCATGGCGCTTCGTGCCGGTCACGTTGAAGAGCTGGAAGCCGTCGTCACTTTCACTCGCGGTTCCCGAGTCCTGAGTAAATGAAGATTCAGGAGAAGGCGTCACAGGAGCGATAGTTGGTGGGGCAGTAGTAGAAGGCGCAACGGTAGCAATGGGCGCGGTTGTCGAAGGAGGGGTCGTCGTCGGTGGTGCAGTGGTAGACACAGGAACAGTAGTAGGTAAGATTTCTTGCTCAACGGGCGGGGTAGTAGTAACAGGGGCAGTAGTAGCAGGACGCACCGTAGTGGGGGAAGGCGTCTGCGTCGTAGGAGCCGGAGTCTGTGTCGGCGTTGGTGTCGACGTCTGGGTCGGAGCCTGGGTAGGCGGCGCCGTGGTCGGAGCTGCCGTGGTCGGCTTTGGGGCAGTAGTCGTCGGCGTGCTCTGCTTCGGCGAGGATTGCGAAGTCGATCCACCCGAAGGGAACTGGTTGGCGCCTTGCGTGCACGAGTCGGCAGTGAGTGACACCGTGTCTTCGATCGAGTTGCCGTTCACGTCTGTCATGGAGATGGTCAAGCTGCTGAGGTCCGTCTGAACTTGACTGGCGCCGTCCAGCAGATAGTAGTAGGCCGAACCGAGCATGGTCGTGTCCTGGCCGTTGATCTTCAGACTCTTGACACCCGTAGCACAGTTGGTCGGCTGGACACCCATCCAGTAGTTGTTGCTACCGCCCTTGAGGCAGTAGTTGACATTGCCCGACACGGGGCAGTCCACGAACTTCCATTTGACCGTGTATCGGGACGGGTGGGATCCGGTAAGCGTCTTGAAGACGGACGGCGACAGATCGAGGTCACCGTGCTTGCACTCCGGGCAGCGGTCGAGAATCTGCACCACGACAGTCGTGGTCTGGTCGGCACACCTGTCGTCGGCGCACGACACCTCGGCGCAGCGGCCGCAGTTCTGGAGACCGTCCCATTGCTCGTCGTTCAAAGCGGCGTAGTCGGTGGTGGCGAAGTCCAGTGCCGACATCATGTTGCAATTACCGGCACTTGTCTGACCCAACGTGTAGGCCGTGCCGTCACCGGTGAAGTA